ATCCTAAAACTGTGACTCGAAAAATTTCCCTCAATGCCGGCAGAATCCATTATTTTTCGCAACCAAGATGTCAAAAGTGGGCGAGTTAAAGGCCCACCTGACTGGAGCAAGAACAGAGGCCCCGAACTATCCCCACGCCAATTAAGATACTGTAACATAGCCTCCACAGCACACAAGGGAGGTTTTCCCCTGCCAATATGAATAAATGTCCCCTTCCTAAACGGATCTGTCTTTGACGCTTTAATGCGAACTCTAAGACACRTAGGTGCAGTTTGTGAATCTACAGCGACATCAGCCACTTGCAAATGAAAAGCTGAATTAAATGTAGATAAAGATGAAACWGTAAATTCTGAAGCCCTTAAAAAACCGAAGTAGGCCAGRGTACATGCTGCCCAAAACATGCAATGATCATAGGAATGTACATTTAACGATCTCTCAATTACCAGCATAAGATCATCTGTGATTGGCAACCGTTGACGCTGGGACTCTCCTTGACTTCTCTTTATACCCCGAAGTACCCTTTGTAACCGAAGACAATCAGTGAGTGGATCACCTAAACCTTGCTCGATATGCAAGGCTCGAACTGCCGAAAGGTACACTTTGATAGAAGTATGTCGTAAGGAACTAGCCAGATGAGTCACAAACAAGCATAGTGTCCACTCTTCCACGGGACAAGGTGAGCCAGATTCGTTTATTTTACCCATCTGATGGCAAAARTCAATAAAACGGCGCTGTGCTGAGGAATACGACTTCCTGGTTGCCACTGAGAGACCATCCTTCAGGAACATTAAGCACTGGGACTCCAAAGCGGAYGGGTTAGGTCCTGTAGGACCTGTTGAGGAATGCAGATTGGGTGGGCCAAGGCATCTGGTGCTAGTTGACGGAACTCCTGCCAATGAAAACGAGATAAAGCATCAGCAGTTGCATTTTCAATTCCAGGTATGTGAGCAGAAGAGAATGAAAACTGACAGTTAGCTGCAGAGAGGAGTAGGTGGCGAAGGAGGTACATGATAGCTGGAACTTTCGAAGTTCTAGAGTTGAGAATCGCAACCACTGCTTCATTGTCTGATCTGAATAGCACATGCTGCCTATGCCATCTATGTCCAAAAATTGTTGCTGCAMTCACCACTGGGAACAATTCCTTGTAGGCTATGGACAGGTCCTCTTGGCAAGTCCACCATCTACCATTAAACCATTCTCTACCCCAGAAGGCTCCAAAACCRATCGAACCTGAAGCATCAGAAAACACTTCAATGTCTGGATTAGGTGTCAAACCGGGAAAGAGCCAAAAGCTAACTCCATGCCACGTACTKAGGAACKTGACCCACCATTCCACATCCTGTTGAAACTCACGATTCAGACGAATGGGATGGTCCCTCGTGCGAAAACATCTCAACAAGTCAATCATGCGTCTGATGAAAGCCCGKCCAGGCCACACCACCTTAGCGGCGTGGTGAAGATGACCTATCAAAGATTCCAGTTGCTTCTTGTTGCAAGAACGTCTACCTGACCACTGGTTCAGAAGCTCTCTTAAAGCCGTCAGTTTTTCCTCAGGAAGCTGCGCCGTCTGATTAGCTGAATTCAAATGGATGCCTAGGATGKTMAGGGCCGAGRTAGGACCTTCGCACTTCTTTGGATGTAGAGGCAACCCGAGTCGTCGACACACTGACAAGGCTATGGCCAGATTCTRATGGCATACTGGGGAATCTGCTGGACCAACTGTGATGAAATCATCCAAATAGTGAACTAAATCTGATAGACCATAGTTATTTATCAAAATCCATTCAACCATATCAGCAACAGAGTTAAAGATATGTGGAGCTGACCTCAATCCGAACGGCAGGACCAAGTCAACATAAAACTGATTACGCCACTTTAAGCCTAATAGATACCGATCTGAAGGGTGAACTGGAATGTTCCTATATGCTGCTTCTACATCAAACTTAGCCATTAAAGCCCCTTGGCCATATCTAATTACCATA